GCAGGCCAGACTCAGGAGTGCCAGGGCAAGTGGCAGTGGGGCAAGCAATACTGGGTCAGCACAGCTGTCTTCAGGGCTATGGGGCACCATTGGGGGACAATCTTCAGCAGCAGGGACCGAGTTCCGCTGTAGGCTCTACCACCACCCCTTTGGGGGGCCCTAGAAACCAGGGAAAATGGTTCTGTAGGCTAAAGTTCAGCACTCTACGAGCCATGTTTGACAACTGCTCTAGACAAAGGATGCATGGTATAGAAATCCAACACCAGGAACTGTACTGCTACACCCATGACTACTGGCATTTTAGTTCTCAAAGTGTATGGATTTGTACCGTCAGGCACAGTATACTTGAAGCTTCCATTTCTACTCTGACATAATATAGAATTGTTACAAACTAAACTACTGTAAAGTTTTTTAAAGCGTCCTCACTTTTCTTAAAAAGAAAAGAAGGAACAAAAAAAAAAAAAATAAAGCAGCAAGCTGCCTCCAATAAGTTAAGATTTATCTAGGATTTCCTTTAAGACAACCAGGACGTTCAGGAGAACTTATCAAAAAAGAACGAGATGTAGAAACCAGGAGCACTTACTGGAGACATATAATATGGAGTCCCAACAAATGTTTTTGCAAAACTTGTATCATGGTGTAATATTCTAGCTAGTCCAAAGTCTCCAAGTTTAACATTCTGCATGCCATCTAGAAAGACATTTGCTGGCTTGAGGTCCCGGTGTAATACAGTGACCCCACCATCACTTCGTCTGTGACATTCCTTCAAGGCCAGGGTCAACTGAGTCAACACACGGAGAATAAATTTTTCTTCCAAATAGTATCTGAAAAGGTGAGCAAGTCATTTATCAGTTATAGTTATCAGGTTATACAGGCCTACTAAATACCAACAGATTAGAAATAATAGGATGCCAGGTTAGTCTGGCAGACTACTGGAAGTTGAAGGGCAGGACCTGTGGCAGAGTTCAGGGCCCTTGGACCCCAATGGACATGCCCATTGTCAGCAGCCTCCCAGCTCTGCACTGACACCCCGTCTTGTGCCTTTATTTATTTATTTTTAGAGTAATTCAAGTTATGCCCTTCCAACAAGAGGTAGCTCCTGAATTCCTCCCCCTAACAAACTTATTCCACATGGAAAGACTGGCCAGGCCCAGATTACATGCCTGAAGCTTCTAGCAGTTTAACAGGAGATACATTTTGTTTTGCCTGTTAAATGCCCATGATCGCATCCAGGTCAGTAAGTCTCACAAACGGATATTACATGCCTTTCCTTGGTACATCTTGCAATCAGGCTGGCAAGGTCACCACCTTCACAATATTCCATCACTATGTACAGTGTTGTGTTGGTCCTGTCAACAATGCGATCGTAATACCGAACAATGTTAGGGTGTTTCAGCTCACGGAGCAGATTCACTTCCGAGACCAGCATCTGCTTCTCCATTTCTGTCATGGAGCCATAGTCAAGCTCCTTCCAAACCAAAACCTGAAAGAGAAGTCACCAAGGCCTAGCTGACAAGTCCCTAATGCCCTGACTGGGGACAGCCATAAAGCCACTAGGCAAACCCACACAAACAGCTGGCTGAGCTCCAAGAGCCACATGCCATTGGCTGAAAGAAAGATCCCCACATCTGACAGCAGGGATTAACATCAAATACTGATAATGCAGAAACAAGTGCAGACCTCACAGCCCCTTACTCTGCACTAGCAAGGGCAGGACAAGGGGTGATGTGCGTATACATACACATATGGATAGACACACGTGTACCCGCAGGCCCCAGTGAAAGGCATCAGCTGTTCCAAGCCACTGAAGGGAGGGAAGCACCGCTGAGCTGCGTCATTTCACCACGTGACGTTTCAAGTGCTAGGTGGGTTCTAGGCGCAGTTAGTCCATTCAAGCGGGGGAGACTTCTCTGCGCAAGCGCGGGGCTGGCCCCGCCTTCCCAGCCCCCCAAGACGGGCTTGCCAACGCAAACCCCGTCCCCGCCCCGCGTGATGTCACGGTCCCGGGCAGGTACCTTGGCGTCTGCGCGGCGCCGCACCTTCTGGCACTTGCCATAGGAGCCAGCGCCAATGGTGAGCAGTACCTCGTAGTCCTCGGGCCGGCTCGGCATGGCGCCCCTAACCCGCACCCGCCGCAGCGCTCGCAGCGCTGCCTGCAGGTTTCAAACGCGCCGCCCCCGGCGCCCATTGGCCGGCGCCGAAGCCCCGCCCAGGCCGGCCCTCCCTGCCATTGGCTGCGCCGCCGGAAGCAAACAGAGGACGCGAACTGCAGTTGCTGGTGCCCGGCAACCGCCGCTTTGCGAGGCGGGAGCCGCGGGGGTCTCCGCCCCCCCAGGGAACAAGCTGCCCCACCCCTCCAACGGCTGAGAGGCCCCAACCGTCTCAAACCCCACCGCACACAAGCACGCGCGCTTGGTGGCGTGCATGTGCACCCCGCACCAAACACGCTTCCTCCACGGGGACACGCAGCCCCAAGTATGCCCCCCCACGGGCTGGGCAGGTGCTCCTGACACATGCACAGCCCCCCCTCCGTGCGCGCACGCACGCACACGCAGAGGCTGGGCAGGTGCCCCTGACAGGCTGCACTGACCCGTGGGAACCAGGGATAAGGGTCACTGGCCTCTCACTAATGCTACACAGCTGCCTTCTGGCTAGGCCAGTGGCTCCTAACTGGGCTGCAGCCAGGTCCCTGAAAGGGGCCACAGGGGGTGAGGAAAGAAGCAAATGGATGCAGGCTTAGGCCCGTGCTCAGCCCTGCAAAGCCACGAGCCCTGTCAGATATAAATGAGTTTGTTTTGAATCAGCAACATACAAGTCACAAAAGTTACAGTGGGGCCTTATGCCTGATATGAGGGGCATCCACTCTAAAGACATTGAGAGCCACGGTGGTAGGCAAGTGTAGAGGCACAGCTCACCCA